CCCCAAAACCCCAAAACCCCAAAACCCCATCACATTTTATTTGATGAATATAAGGGTAATTCATAAATTTCATATATTAATGGTAGACACAAGTTTTTCAAACCCACTCTTATTTTAGGAGTCAATTGAGAATTATAAATCATCATTTTTGAATAATTTAGGTGGAGCTTCTCCTATCAAATAAGGCATTCACAATAGACTCAAATCTTTGGAGGTAATTGATGATGAATAGCAAAAATAATTAGGAACTCGATTGAGTCCAATGGGAGGTTACGCTATAAAGACACCCGTTCCAGTATAAAATTACTAAGAATACATCAATAGTTAGTAGTTAGATTAGATTTCAGAAGAATACTAATCATATAGATTATCTACAGACTAAAATCTGATAAACTATCAAGGATACTAGCATAAAATACTGAATTACAAGCTAGAAATCGAAAGGTAGAACAATATGCTTAATTAAATCAAAGAGGAGCGAGAGAGATTAAAGTTTTAACAATCTTACCAAAGTCCAGATTAAATTTTCAACGATAACTAAGCAGCATAATTAAACAATTAACATAGAAGACCAGATTCAAGGTAGTACAATTAAAATCATAATATGCTACCTTCAGCTGGAATTCCAAGAAAATATGGCAGTAATATAGATTTAAATGAGTATGATGAAAAGATAAAACAACAGTAATTATAGTAATAAATAACTCAGTAGCTTTAAATGATTCCTCAACAAAGCCCTTACTATTAGAAACCAGTAGATCAGCAGTAATAGTAGCATTAGTAACCTCAATTGAATTAAAACTTGAATCAAACACCAAATTTCAATATGTATTTGGGATAGTAATAATTGCAATTTATGACTCCAAATCGACCTTACATTCCTAAACTTAATTTACAATCAGATTAAGATGTCTAAAATATTCCAGTAGATTAAAATAATCAAAGTTTTAACTTCAAAGATGCTTGGAAATCATCGCAAGACATGGCAAAACATCAATTTTTTCAAATGCAAAATTAGTATTTAACTATGAGTCCTCAGTAGATCTTAATGTCTTAAGAAGAAAGATAAAAGATTATAAATTAATTTGAGGAAATAACAGATTTTTAGGCTTAGAGAAGAGACTTCCTGAAACATCAGCAATTAGAAAGTGCTTCAACTCTGTAACTTATTGAGCAGTAATAGCATTAAGTAAATCTAAAATCATTGAAATAAAGTCAAGAGGAGAGAATGATGAGGTTTCAATAACTTAGTAAACAGGCAAGAAAATGATAAACTAAGATTTTACGCTATATATAAATAATTTTAATTTGTTAAACCTATTATAAAAAATGTTAATGTCTAATTAAAGTAAGAGTCGAAACTAGTTTACTCTTCACGAAACTCAATCAAGTAAATTCATACTAAGTCAAATCATTTTTAGGATTTAATGGAGGTTACTCAACTTATTTCACTACCCCAAAGCATTCACTAGTAGCACATCATAATTTTGGCAAGTTTGAGACTTTACCAACCCCATCTTAAAAATCCCCAGATAATTTTACAGCCTAACAACATAAAAAAAGGGTAATATTACTTAAGAAGGCTGCATCCGAGGAGTTTATGAAAACTCTAACAGAAAAATTAGTAAATCATTGAAACTCTGATCCTGATTTGCTTGATGATAATGAAATGAAGAAAGTTGATGAACATATTGTTAAGTCAATTCCCAAACCGATAGACTTCAAGTAAAATGCTTACTCAGTAAAAAGAAGATCGATTATTGGAGATTTGCAAGATTTCTAAAAACTTCATGATCTAAAGGTTGGTACAATGACAAGTAAACAAGCTCAGCCAAAAAACAGACTATCATTTTTGTTCATGACTAGCTTTCAAGGTTATTTAAATCGATACAGAAAGAATAAGGCTGAGAGTGAAAATAAAACCCCTAATGATTCTGAAGAATTATAATAAATTGTTCGAAATATAGAGCAAAGAATTGATAATAATCAACAACAGGAAAAATAATAATTTAAAAACTTACCAATATCCCTTAAAATAAAATAACACGCCTAAGAAAGAGCGTTATAGACTTATTATTCGACTCAGTCAGAGTGGAACAGCTAAAAAGCTTTTTTTGCAAAAAGATGCAATAAGAGTCCAGAAAATCTCATTATGACTTAAACTGAAAAATATAGGGAAAACACAAAAGAGGTCAAAGAAGCAATGTCTTAAAATTTTACTATTCCTGAAAAGCTTGGGCATAACTATTGGTAAATGTCTCTAAGATAGACTGTGGAGTTAAAGGATTAAAAAGTACTAGGGTTTTTGAAGCTCAATAAAAATTCAGATATACAAGTAATTAAAAAGGAAATCGATAATACAACCAATTACTTTAAAATTAGAAATAATTCTCATGCAGTATAACTTGATGAAACTAAAGCAGATATTTAAGTCGAGTCAAGAATTATCAATGTTAAAAATAATAATCTAATTGAGGACGATTTAGCATCAAGTGATAGAAGCGTAAGTGAAGTAGTTATTAATTTGAAAGAAGAGAAAAGGAAACTTCAAGAAAAAATGAAGAAAAAGCAGCAAGTTAAGATGAAGGGCTAGCAGCTCAAGGAAACCTCATCTAGATTCATTGAAAGGTGCTACTTAAAGAACCAATTTGAAAAAACTAGAAATAGCCTGGGTGAAGAATAATCTTTCAAAACACAGTAAATTGAGATAGTTGCTACAAATAAGCTAAGACAAGAAATAGAAGCATTTCAAAATCATTTTTAGAAGAAAAGAGATAGTCATATGCAAGAAGCAGCTAAATAATATAGAGGAACACAATCATCATTCAATGTAGCCGAAGCAAAAAATAATGCATAAACTTAACTTTAGAAAAATACAGGAAAGCATTTGTAAATTTCATCAGATAGCTTTAGAAAAAGAAACAGGCAAACTAGTCCATAAATTTCAAAGAATCAGCCTCCTTAAAATCCATTTAAAGATGAAAATAATCTTGATGATAGTAGACCCTAATATGATCCCAAGGAAACGGAATACATTGAGGTCCTCTATTAAAATAAAGTATTTTTCTGATAGATTTTTAATTTCTTAAAATCCAGTTATATTTAGCGCAGCGGGGTTTTGGGGTTTTGGGGTTTTGGGG